CTGGTGGCAACACTGTACAGGTGACATTGTCGAGGACAGGTAGCCTGTTAAGCTTATTAATGTTCCCCCTAACTACGGGAGACATCTCCCGTCACGCAGGGTGCAGTCGCACCTCCACAGATCTCCAGTATCAGCTCTTGATACTGGTAATGGCTCAAAGGGGCCACCACTTACGGGCTATTCATGCCCGTGCCACCTTTTGGGTGGCTTAATCTTCATTAATCAATCAATCCCCCCTAACTAGCGACTGACTGTTGTTTGAGGAAGCAACTCAAACAACAGTGAACTAGCACTAACTGCCTAATAGTTAGTTTAGTTCAATTATCATGCACCCCATACCCATCTTGTGGGCGGTAGTGAAAAGGGTTACAGAGGCACATAATGGGCTCAGGGACTGAACTCCACAATTCATTTAGCTAAACAAGTTACAATCTTGATGAGCTAGTTACAAAATTCAGTATAAGTCGTCACATTATCAATGGATCGACCACAAGTACAGTTTCTATATTAAGCAACTGACATATGTGGAGAGCTAGTGTCAAAATTTATGTTTGTCCTGCACACCGCCCCCCATCCAGTGGGCAGCGGTGGATAGGTTACAATCACTTAGTTACTACCTACAGTTAGCAAACTGGGGATATTTGACTAAATGCCTAATATACTTCATGTAAGACATATCTTACATTCCACTTGTATGATTATTCTATAACCAGAAAAATATATATTAGGAAATGTTTGTTGTTCATTTGTATGCGTTTAAAGCATCTCTAGAGATTTGGTTATATGAAATGCTCATACTACATGCAGATAAGTTGTCTATAAATCCACGTAAGAGCCCCTTAATATCGCCTAATGGATCCTTACCTCCGATATCGTTCCGCATCGAGCAATATTGACGTCCCGAAAAATATTGGATATTGTCGACGACCGGGCCGCGGGGACGCTAAGCCCCGGAAGCTCCTCAAGGTAAGGTAAGGTAAGGTTGGGTGCCAAAAACAGCACACATGTACTATACAATATTCACAATGGCGTTACACCAACAATCACGTGACTGAAAATACATTGACAGCAATCTGAACATCTAATGAATTAAAGCTAAACATTGAAACAGTATATAATAGCATATTGATATTACGTTAGGAAAGAGATTATCTCTCGGGTACACAATTTTCAAAAACATATTCAAACAAATTTTGAAACTGTTTAGGTGTACCTATATAATTTGCTACTATTGCAACCTAGCCTCAGCCTATTCTCGTCCAAGCTACGGGCAATCCAAAGGCTGGATTATAGTTTGGCTATCGTTTACGCAACCTTTTAGTTAAGTTTAGTTAACTAAAAGATATCTACATATCTAACCGAACCGGTACATATCTAACCGAACCTTTCGAGAATAATCAGATTGACGTAAGGGTACTTACAACTTACCGGACTTTCAGTACTGAATGGGAGAAATTATAATATGCAGTTGTATATTGACAACGTTTGGCAATAAATCTTGGTGTAGTGATGGTTGGTAGCGGTGTTAGGTGAAGAGTCCAACGGTGTCAAGGTCACTGAAAGGTGTCAATAGATTGATTTAATATTTTAGCTGTTGCGCCGCAGCCATTGAAGCCGTGATCGACTATCAGTTACTCGACCTACTAACAAGTGTACAAAGTTTACTCTCGTTCGATTTTATCCACTTGCCATTTAATATAATTTAGCGTTTTATTTTAAGATATTTTTGTGCTTAAAGCCAGAATTATGGAATATAATTTCCCTAAGGAGAATGAGAACTGTAATATGACTCGCTCTAAGGAACATATATATTTAGTTAATGTATAATGTGAATCTTGAGATATTTTAATATACATAATTTAATTCTATTAAGTTACTGCCAAAATAAGGAAGCCATTTATTTAATATAATAATTATGTTAACGTTACGTTAATAGTATAGGGTACTATTTTCATTAGAGTTTAGTAAATGAATGAAAATCTCTTAAGTGTTAATCAATAGATATATTGATTTATTAACACTCTTAGTGCCAGCTATATAGGTACACTGGCTTAGCGCCTTCTGATACATAGTTACATTCATATTATTACAGCCACCATAAACTACATATGAAGGCCTGGTCGACGACCGGGCCGCGGGGACGCTGAGCCCCGGAAGCACCTCAAGGTAACCTCAAGGTAAGGCCTACAAGGGTTTAGGGTTTAGGCTTAGGGCTATATATATGTTCACTGATCCCCCATCCCCACCATTTGGTCACCACTTGGTCCGGGAGACATCTTCCGTCACGCAGGGTGCAGTTGCGCCTCCACAGATCTCCAGTATCATCTTTTGATACTGGTAATGGCTCGAAAGGGCCACCACTTATGGGCTATTCATGCCCGTGCCACCTCTTGGGTGGCTTAATCTTCATCAATCAATCAATCCCCATCTTGCAGCATAAATTGCTATAGTGCAAGATGGTGATCTTAAACAGTACTAGCAAACTTTTAGTAAATGTTGTGAATATGGAACTCGCTTAAATATATGTTCCAGTTTCTATTCACAGTGTACTATAGCACACTGGTTATGTTGTGTTCCCCCACACATATAGGTTTAAGATCTAAAGCAATAATGAGTTTTCTTATTATATCAGTCTTAGGTGAGGCCTGTTCGGAGACTGGACCACTAGGCTGTTAATCCCCGGAAGCTACACTAGGTAGCCTCAAAGGTAGGTTGCACCTACACCCAAACTATCAGTCTCAGGTTAAATACTTAACTAGACTGATTGTACATATACATAGCTACCGGAACAATAACATTAGACATAGGAAATGTCGTATGTAACACAAGCGAAGGGCTTGATAACTTTGTGACGTGTAAGACTGCACTAAACCCACGGGATTGTCCTCGGCTACCTGCCCCAGTCAAGGCCACTACAGACGTGACCTTCAGGCAGATATATTTAGCCTTATCGATGTATAGAACGTAATTATTAAAATCTCATTCATCTATATCCTTCTGAAGATGTATTGTTAAATACGAAAGTACTTAAGGAAATTCCTGTTTCAATTCTTCCTTCGTGGTCTGACACTGTCATATATAGAGTCAACCTCCACCACTATGCTATGATTGAGATAATGAGGATGGAGTTGAATCTGCAGAGTATTGGGGATAGAATTTCAGAGATAAATGTAGCCTCTGCCATTAGATTAATGAGAGGTGGGGGAGCTAATGAATTAATCCTCTTGGTTCAAAAAGTGGGAACTAATGAGCAATGTATGACGAAGAAGAGAGCGTATATGAAGACCTTATGTTCTAATGCTATAAAATATGATGTTATTACAGAGTGTATTGCTGTGCCCAAGAGAAAATTCACACCACCATGGGAGGATTGTAATGTAGATGTAGTAATTACTCCCTTGCAAAAGAAAAAAAGCATGTATGAAATAGGAGAGCTGAGGGCAACATACGATTGTATAATTAGAAAATTGCCTACAGAAAACACTCTACATGTATATTGTGATGGATCAGTAGCTAGGGATGGGAAGGCAGGATGTGGAGTCTTGATCAGGGAGTACACTGACAACGGCATTGTAGATACTGTTATTGGACGCTGCTTAACAAATAATGTCTCTTCAACGCAGGCTGAACTCCAAGGTGTATTAGCAGGATTACAAGAAGTAGTCAAATGTGGTAAAAATGCCTGCTTCTTTATTGACAGCAGAGGAGCGTTAGAGTCTTTAAATAGCAGACGCCCAGTATACCAGAATATTGTGATAGAGTGTAGAGAGAATGTTATGAAATTAGAAAAATCTACATATCTACAATTGAAACTGTGTATGGAGTCAGCCTCCACCACATCACTTCCTAATGCATTCCATTTGTCAACCACTCTGATACTAAAAAAAGTTCTTTCTAATACCTCTGTGGCTCATTTGGGCACTCAGTTTCCACCTGTGTCCCCTTGTGCGTGTGCCCCTTGTGTTAAATAGCCTGTCTTTATCTACCCTATCAATTCCCTTCAGAATCTTGAATGTGGTGATCATGTCCCCCCTAACTCTTCTGTCTTCCAGCGAAGTGAGGTTTAATTCCCGTAGTCTCTCCTCATAGCTCATACCTCTCAGCTCGGGTGCTAGTCATGTGGCAAACCTTTGAACCTTTTCCAGTTTAGTCTTATCCTTGACTAGATATGGACTCAATGCTGGGGCTGAATACTCCAAGACTGGCCTGACATATGTGGTATACAAAGTTCTGAATGATTCTTTACACAAGTTTCTGAATGCCGTTCGTATGTTGGCCAGCCTGGCATATGCCGCTGATGTTATCCTCTTGATATGTGCTGCAGGAGACAGGTCTGGCGTGATAACAACCCCCAAGTTTTTTCCTTCTCTGACTCCTGAAGAATTTCCTCTCCCAGATGATACCTTGTATCTGGCCTCCTACTCCCTACACCTGTGTGTGTGTGCGTATGTACACTTTTAACACAGCACTTGCAACCAATCATAATAACAAACGAATACATTTCACTGATCCAGTCATTGATAACTATGTGAATTAACAATCAGGATACGCGTGACTCAACTCATGTACCCACACGTCATGACTGCCTAGTAACCATGGCAGGAAGAATTACCACACAATGGTTCCCTCCTGGTCGTGTGGGTGCATCTTATGTGCTCTGTGAGGCGTCAAGGACACTGTCCTCTACCCACCCTCTATACCTACATATATAACCTATAAACACATCGGGTAAAAATCACATAAAAACCACGTATAGAGCTCTGTACATAGCTGCTATATCATCTGAAATGCGTTGTGGAATATTATAAATATACATTTTAATTTGTGGGAGAGGGATGTATAGGATATTGTAGGTTAAATATATATTGAATAATGGACCAGGGGTAAATAGCAAAGTAGGATAAGTTAGCAATAGAGCTGTGAATGGTGTATTTGAGAGGACAATGCATGTAGGTGGATGAATGACTAGCGATCATGCCGGAGAAGCAGGAGAGGTCCAGCCGGCCGGCAGTGCCGTAGTGGGAGGTGACGGGGCTAGAGGTGTGCCGCTCCCATTATATTTTATATTAAGACTCGATATACCCCTGACAAGAAATGGGTCAGCATGTTTCCAGGACGGACTTCGAGTGGTCTTACACTGCAGAACCTCACGCATCAAGACGAAAAGAAATTTTAAGTAAGCTGTGTATTGTGTGTTAATTTGTGAGTGTGTCATTGAGACTTTTCAAGGTGTGGGATGGGGAGATGTTAAGCCTTCTGTAGGGGGTTTAATAAGCATCTTTGAGCCGGATCTTTAAATCCTGGGCACGCGATAGGGGTTGACGTCATGTTGATTATAGGAATGGCGTGTTATCAGTTGAGGGAGATGACGTTTAGATAGTGATGATGATGATGACGTAATGCACTATACATCACGCGGACGCAGGGTGCAGTTGCGCCTCCACAGATCTCCAGTATCATCTTTTGATACTGGTAATGGCTCGAAAGGGCCACCACTTATGGGCTATTCATGCCCGTGCCACCTCTTGGGTGGCTTAATCTTCATCAATCAATCAATCCCCATCTTGCAGCATAAATTGCTATAGTGCAAGATGGTGATCTTAAACAGTACTAGCAAACTTTTAGTAAATGTTGTGAATATGGAACTCGCTTAAATATATGTTCCAGTTTCTATTCACAGTGTACTATAGCACACTGGTTATGTTGTGTTCCCCCACACATATAGGTTTAAGATCTAAAGCAATAATGAGTTTTCCTATTATATCGGTCTTAGGTGAGGCCTGTTCGGAGACTGGACCGCTGGGCTGTTGATCCCCGGAAGCTACACTAGGTAGCTACAAAGGTAGGTTGCACCTGCCCCCAAACTATCAGTCTCAGGTTAAATACTTAACTAGACTGATTGTACATACACATAGCTACCGGGACAATAAAATTAGACATAGGAAATGTCGTATGTAACACAAGCGAAGGGCTTGATAACTTTGTGACGTGTAAGACTGCACTAAACCCACGGGATTGTCCTCGGCTACCTGCCCCAGTCAAGGCCACTACTGACGTGACCTTCAGGCAGATATATTTAGCCTTATCGATGTATAGAACGTAATTATTAAAATCTCATTCATCTATATCCTTCTGAAGATGTATTGTTAAATACGAAAGTACTTAAGGAAATTCCTGTTTCAATTCTTCCTTCGTGGTCTGACACTGTCATATATAGAGAGTCAACCTCCACCACTATACTATGATTGAGATAATGAGGATGGAGTTGAATCTGCAGAGTATTGGGGATAGAATTTCAGAGATAAATGTAGCCTCTGCCATTAGATTAATGAGGTGGGAAAGCTAATGAATTAATCCTCTTGGTTCAAAAAGTGGGAACTAATGAGCAATGTATGACGAAGAAGAGAGCATATATGAAGGCCTTATGTTCTAATGTTATAAAATATGATGTTATTGCAGAGTGTATTGCTGTGCCCAAGAGAAAATTCACACCACCATGGGAGGATTGTAATGTAGATGTAGTAATTACTCCCTTGCAAAAGAAAAAAAGCATGTATGAAATAGGAGAGCTGAGGGCAACATACGATTGTATAATTAGAAAATTGCCTACAGAAAACACTCTACATGTATATTGTGATGGATCAGTAGCTAGGGATGGGAAGGCAGGATGTGGAGTCTTGATCAGGGAGTACACTGACAACGGCATTGTAGATACTGTTATTGGACGCTGCTTAACAAATAATGTCTCTTCAACGCAGGCTGAACTCCAAGGTGTATTAGCAGGATTACAAGAAGTAGTCAAATGTGGTAAAAATGCCTGCTTCTTTATTGACAGCAGAGGAGCGTTAGAGTCTTTAAATAGCAGACGCCCAGTATACCAGAATATTGTGATAGAGTGTAGAGAGAATGTTATGAAATTAGAAAAATCTACATATCTACAATTGAAACTGTGTATGGAGTCAGCCTCCACCAAATCACTTCCTAATGCATTCCATTTGTCAACCACTCTGATACTAAAAAAAGTTCTTTCTAATACCTCTGTGGCTCATTTGGGCACTCAAGTTTCCACCTGTGTCCCCTTGTGCGTGTGCCCCTTGTGTTAAATAGCCTGTCTTTATCTACCCTATCAATTCCCTTCAGAATCTTGAATGTGGTGATCATGTCCCCCCTAACTCTTCTGTCTTCCAGCGAAGTGAGGTTTAATTCCCGTAGTCTCTCCTCATAGCTCATACCTCTCAGCTCGGGTGCTAGTCATGTGGCAAACCTTTGAACCTTTTCCAGTTTAGTCTTATCCTTGACTAGATATGGACTCCATGCTGGGGCTGAATACTCCAGGACTGGCCTGACATATGTGGTATACAAAGTTCTGAATGATTCTTTACACAAGTTTCTGAATGCCGTTCGTATGTTGGCCAGCCTGGCATATGCCGCTGATGTTATCCTCTTGATATGTGCTGCAGGAGACAGGTCTGGCGTGATAACAACCCCCAAGTTTTTTCCTTCTGACCCCTGAAGAATTTCCTCTCCCAGATGATACCTTGTATCTGGCCTCCTGCTCCCTACACCTGTGTGTGTGTGTGTGTGTGTGTGTGAGTGTGTGTGTGTGTGTGTGTGTGGTGTGTGTGTGTGTGTGTGTGTGTGTGTGTGTGTGTGTGTGTGAGAGAGTGTGTGTGATTTGTGTGAGTCCCAGATGAGTACCTTGTGAGTGTGTCTGGCCTCCTGCTGTGTAGTGTGTGTGTGAGTGTGTGTGAGAGTGTGTGAGAGTGTGTGAGAGTGTGTGAGAGTGTGTGAGAGTGTGTGAGAGTGTGTGAGAGTGTGTGTGCGCGTATGTACACTTTTAACACAGCACTTGCAACCAATCATAATAACAAACGAATACATTTCACTGATCCAGTCATTGATAACTATGTGAATTAACAATCAGGATACGCGTGACTCAACTCATGTACCCACACGTCATGACTGCCTAGTAACCATGGCAGGAAGAATTACCACACAATGGTTCCCTCCTGGTCGTGTGGGTGCATCTTATGTGCTCTGTGAGGCGTCAAGGACACTGTCCTCTACCCACCCTCTATACCTACATATATAACCTATAAACACATCGGGTAAAAAATCACATAAAAAACCACATACAGAGCCCTGTACATAGCTGCTATATCATCTGAAATGCGTTGTGGAATATTATAAATATCCATTTTAATTTGTGGGAGAGGGATGTATAGGATATTGTAGGTTAAATATATATTGAATAATGGACCAGGGGTAAATAGCGAAGCAGGATAAGTTAGCAATAGAGCTGTGAATGGTGTATTTGAGAGGACAATGCATGTAGGTGGATGAATGACTAGCGATCATGCCGGAGAAGCAGGAGAGGTCCGGCCGGCCGGCAGTGCCGTAGTGGGAGGTGACGGGGCTAGAGGTGTGCCGCTCCCATTATATTTTCTATTAAGACTCTATATACCTCTGACAAGAAATGGGTCAGCATGTTTCCAGGACGGACTTCGAGTGGTCTTACACTGCAGAACCTCACGCATCAAGACGAAAAGAAATTTTAAGTAAGCTGTGTATTGTGTGTTAATTTGCGAGTGTCATTGAGACTTTTCAAGGTGTGGGATGGGGAGATGTTAAGCCTTCTGTAGGGGGTTTAATAAGCATCTTTGAGCCGGATCTTTAAATCCTGGGCACGCGATAGGGATTGACGTCATGTTGATTATAGGAATGGCGTGTTATCAGTTGAGGGAGATGACGTTTAGATAGTGATGATGATGATGACGTAATGCACTATACATCACGCGGGGGGTGGCTGGCTGGTAGCCACCAGCTGCCAGGCCTGAGCACTCTTATCACTCCCTTGCCACCGTATAATCCCAGATAACATATCAAAAGTGCTAGTTGAGATTGTCGCTCGGGTGTGGGTTCATGTACTGAGGTGGTTTTCTCCCTGGCTGACTAGACAATATTCACACTTAACCTAATTGCCCAAAACGCTATGCATACTAGTGGCTTTAGGTATTGTATGTACTACCTCTATCTATAAATCCAACATTGTTTGTAATAAATCAACTATGTACTTTCTAGGAAAAAATTTACTTACTTAATCTGATCCTGGTAATGGGTAATATATAGATTCTTTGGCAATTTAAGTGATAATGGGCCCCCATAAATATCCTGTGGACAGTAGCAGAATGGTTAGTCTCGCATAATGAATTATAATGGGTTTAGGGTGATGAACACATTCTAGTTCAGTGGTTAATGATTCCAATGCCTGGTCATTAGGTATACAGGTCATTAACCTCTAGGCAGGGGCGGCAGTTATGCGGATTAACAAGTGCTTAGTTTATTCAAACTCGTATCTGTATTAATTCTCTTCGTTATCAGTATAATCTTGTCAGTTTTTAGCAAGTTATTGATAATAGTTTTATATCAGAGGTTTAGTGAGATTTTAAGTTTTTAAACACGGTATATATTGGTTATGTTAAATGTATATTAAATGGTTGTATTATACATTCTATGGTTTTTCAAATCTGTTCATTCTTGCATAACCCCATTTAATTCTTAACTAAATTGCTATACTGCATCTCCCTAGCATATGTAAAAGGTTAATTTAACCTACCTACAAAACGTCTCTTAAAAAAGTTGCCATTATATAAGAATCTGTGCTGTGGCCTACTCTGCCTTCCTCACAATTGGTTAGGTCTTTGCTACCATATTTTACTAGATTACCTACCCACACCACAGGTAATGATAGACTATGCATGACCTCTTGCTACCTCTAACATAGCATTATCTAACAAAACTCGGCCATTAGAGCTATGACATAATTTTTTTAAACATACAGCACCCATAAATCAGATCTGTAAACATGCTTGACCTAAACATACTGTACACAGCTATATATTCAACAGTGTTTCTTGTGTACACACTGTCACAATACATGTTATAGTGCTATACACTATATGCTGTTCTATAGTCTGTTTTGTGGAAAAAATAAATCCTTATATCCTATATAATTTATATCCACATGTAACTAGGCTCTAAACTTCCAATTTCTTAAATTTCATGCTTTTTTATAGTCATAGAAGTTATCATTTAACTTTCTGGAGCATTAACAATACTGTATCAACCTACAGTCTCACCAGTAAAACAAATAGTTGTCACATAAGCATTACTTCTATTCATTCTTCTCGTAAGATTTTCAAATCATCTTTGAAAAGTATCCTCTTATCAGCTTATTTCTTCTTCCCAAATTCACATTTTCCAATGTATATCTAATTTGGTATTCTGTTCATTATTTAGCTATCTACCCATATCATTTTAGAGTTTGAAGTGCATCCACCTGAAAAAGAGATGGAAATGTTTTTCATTTGTCAATCAAAATTATTGTAGGATTTATACAAGCAGTATACATCCATGGGGAACAGAATGTTTATTTTAATTTTAAACAATGTTGTATTAGATACCTTTTGGGTTTCAACTTATTGTTGAAATACAGTTGTGTACTGTAATGTATATTCAGAGTTTAATTTGTGTGGCTTTGTTCTATCCAACAGTATATGTGTTTTATACAAGTTATATTTTTGTTGCTAGGTGACACTAATGGGCAACTTTACCCTAGATTTTGTATTGTACTTATAGTAAGGGTTGGCAACCTCTAAGGAACAGCAGATAGTTGGTCCCAAGATAAGATTGCCTGGCTCACATGTATAAATAAATTCAATTTCAATTTCTTTATTATGCACCCCATACTCATCCCGTGGGCGGTGGTGTAAAGGATTACAGAGGCACATAATCGGTTCAGGAACTGAACCCTCAAGTTCGTTTAGCTAAGCAAATAACAATCTTTTGATGCTAGTTACAAAATTATTAATGTTATATATACATGTACACATACTCATGCATACATGTACATATACATATGTATACATACACATACAAATTTAATCACCCACACAAATACACACATCAATAATCTTTTGTCACAAGTGACTCAACAAGAGGCTCACAACAGTCACTATACAAGGCACTTTACATCTGTGGTGAGTCACACAGTTACTAGTCTTGCTCCAAACCCACCCAACTGGGCGGCAGCTTTACAGTCATGTGCATGCATTACCTACAGTAAGCAAATTTTGGATACTTCGCTAAGATTTCGGGCAGCACATCATTATGAATGAAGTACTTACACATTTCTTGGACACTATTGATGGTGTTCTCTTAATTCCGCGACTTTTTCACATTCTATTATAAATGGTTGCAACCAAATTGCCACCCAAATGATTAACACAAATTGTAGAAAAAATAATACACTTGTATATTCCTAGTAAATTGCTTTCCTTTTCTATGCTCCATACACAAAATTAATGTACTGTAACTGCATTATGCTGTACTGTGTAACAAATTTGATTGATATAACTTCTAGTGAGTTTATCCTAATCTGTGTGCATGAATGTGTACTCGAGTGTCCTGGAATTTACTGAGATTTTTTGCGAGCTTTAATCATATTACACGGCCTGTGGTATAACATTTTCCTCATTCTTAAGATGTGCACCATTCTTTTCTCGTTATAAAAATCACTGCTCGATTTTAATAGCATAGTATTTACAATCTTGTAAAGCCACTAGTATGCGCAGCGTTTTGGGCAGGTCCTTATTCTAACAGATAATTTTAAGTAGGTAAATTCTAGCAGAATTAATAAAATGATAACTGATCTAATTAATAACTAATAACTAATAATAACTAATAACTAACAACCAACAACTAATTGTTGTAGTTAGTCTCATTCATTATATATATAAATGTCTGCATTAGAATTTGCTTGGATATGTTAAATAATCATTTGGATGGTGTATAAAAAGAATTTTATAAATGCAGCTCGTAAAAATATAAAATCTTACTTTGTGCAGTATATTTTTATCTATAGGCCCTTTATGTTCCAAGATGGTCTAAGGCAGTATGACTCCTAAATGCCAGTACATAAATGTGTGTATAATGGTTTTATTAGTAAAGTATACATAATAAGTTTCACAAACTGGATAATTTAAAACAGCATCAGAAAGCTAATGCTGCATCAGCATCGTATTGAATAATATTTCAGTACAGTATTTAGAGAAGAACTTTTACCCACAACAAATAGTTAAATGTTAAAAGCTTTAAAAAACACTGCTTAAAATTTCTTTCATTATACTCTTGATTTTGCTTAAGGTTGTCTACAGTGAATAAACTGTGTAGTACCTTCAGAATTTTATGTGTTAGATGACTGCTCGATAGTAAAATACATCATAAATTTTAAAAATGCAAATAAATCTGTAATGATTTTGTCATCTGTATTACTTTTAAACTTCCATTCAGAAGAGATAATCTACTGAATTTAATCATTTCCTGATGTAGTGATAAGAGTTCAGTACCTGTGCAGTGATAATGGATGTTATTACTACTAAATGTGGGATTTTTTAAATGAGCTAGAGAGTGTTTTGCCTATATAATACAGTAGTGATGCAAGTACAGTAATATACATTGTACTGGGTCCTGTATTGTAGAGGGTAAAATTGCTGGCCTTTATAAATCGGCATTGAAGAAAAACTCTGAACCAGAGTAGAAAGGGGTATCTAATATATTGTATTATAACTGAGGGTCTCCGGGTTTGGAGTCACTGTGCCTTCTTTTATTAACTTTGAGGTAAACTCCAGAGCTGGGGCCCCTAGGGCAAGTTAGTTGTTGCCTTCAACCTCATTCTGACTGTTCCTGTGACGGTGCTGGAACCAGTCGTATTGGTGTTTACCTTTCCATTGGAGACTTTTGGCACCGTGGAGAGGGGAGACCTGCTGCATGGGTGACAGCTTCTCCACCGTTCCTACCTACCCTGGCTTTGCGCCCTGGAGAGGCCACTCCAGACCGACAACAAGAGCACAACTCCATAGTCTCCTGAGACTCATGGATGCCTACTAACTGCATCAGAATGATTAGTACTGAATAATATTACAGTATTCAGTACCTGTTACTCATAACCTAATTTTTCCCCCTAATTATTACTGAAACCTAATTGTCACCTAATTATTACTGTATAAGCAGAAGACTGATAAGGTGGCTGGTAAGATAGGCTGGATTTGTTATTGGGTTAGCTTTGGCATCTGTGGCTATTGTAATTTCCAAAAGAGTTTACCCAAAATATCCCAAAATAAATTCCAAAAATATCTGGTTTACTCTTGAGGTAGTTATAGTTTGCCGACTACATTATATAACTTTATTGGAGTTATTAGTGATGCTGTCATGTACAGCCCCATACTCTGCTGATTTGTCATGCCTTGAAAATAATCAAACAAATAGGAGTAAAGGCATAAGGTAAGAAACCTAAGGATTTTTGCTGTCATTCTTGTTTTATGTCCCCTTTTCCAATATACTGTTCAGTATAAATATAAAATCTTATTTGCTGAAAGGTGCATGTATTTTTATACTTTGTATTGTAGCCTATGCTTTTATTGTGTTTTATATTTCTACTTTACAGAAAAGCATCCAGAAATAAAAGAACTATTTGGAAATGACCCCAACCTAATTTGGTGGGTACTGGGATTGGTGACCTTTCAGATTCTCTCTCTCTTTGTGGTAAGAGAGCTGTCGTGGCTGTGGGTTTTAATCCTGTGTTATTGTATTGGAGGAACAATTAACCATTCACTCATGTTAGGTAAGTGACAGTTTATATCGTTCACATGACTTTTAAGAATTGAAACGTATTTTAGTGACCCTGCTTTAGGAATTCACTTAAAGAACAGTTCTAAAAGTGGGACAGTGGTCAGTTTTTTTTTTTTTTTTTTTTTTTATGAACAATTTGCTGAAGAATGCCATTCAGCTTGTTACATACAGTATATAATTTAGAATTAGACATACAGTACTATACTTATACAGTACTGCATACAGGTACTGAAAGTACATCCACAAAATAATCTTAGAAAATATAATTCTAATTTCCTTTAAGAGTGGAAATAACAAATTTACTGCAAAATTACTCATACAATTTTTTAAGAGATAAAAGTTCTTATTTACTTCACTAGTGAGCAAGTATGGCGATAGTACTCTGGAAATGCAAATTGTTTGGTGGTTAGCAGAGGTAAATTTCACAACCCTGGTGCAGCAAAAAGTCTTCTAACATCATCCCATTAGGTAGTTTCCTATGGGGTTATGTTAGTTTATAAGGGTAAAGTTCAAAATCTTTATTTATGACACCAAATTAAGTTGATGAGGGCAACATCACAGCTCAAATGTTTGGAAGAGTGTGATAGCCAGATTACAATTCAATATTTTATATATTATTCACAGTGTTGAGCTATAGGATAAACATTGAAAAAACGTACATTACGTGAACAATGCAGTACAGAACAGTATTATAATTTTGCTGTAAGTTTCATCTTTTCATCATCTGTGATAAGTCAACAGATTTGAATGAATATTTTGTGGTCACGCTGTACAGTACAGTACTGTAGATCAAAGAAAGTTAATTTAATTATTCCACATTCCCTTTCAGCTATTCATGAAATTTCTCACAACCTCGCCTTCGGACATTCGAGACCCTTGTCCAATCGTATTCTTGGGATGTTTGCCAATTTCCCAATCATACTGCCGTTCTCTGTGTCCTTTAAGGGCTATCATCTAGAGCATCATAAAGTGAGTACTGTAAATATATTTATTTTTTATTTATTTATTTATTTATACAATTTCTTACATTCTTGTACAGCCACTAGCACACATAGCATTTTGGGCAAGTCCTTAATCCTTATTTTCACATGCACACAACCCCAGGAAGCAGCCCATAGTAGCTGTCTAACTCCCAGGTACTATTTACTGCTAGATGAACAGGAGTATCAGGGTGCAAGAAACACTTACCACTTACACATACCAAACCAACACTGGAGTTGGTTTGTTTCCGCCTCCGCCAGGGATCGAACTCGGACTGTTACGACTACGAACACTGAGCGCGTTCCATTCAGCCGTCAGGCCCCTAAATAGAAATATTGCATTTTTATATCATTCCTTTGTAAATTCTGTTGCAGGTCAACATAGCATAATTTTAAAATACAGGGAATGTAGTTACTTAAAAAAAAAATGCCTATTTGCAAATTAGTTAATCTACTGCAACATTACATCCTCAGCCATTTTAAAGAATTTTACGTTGTGTGTAGGTATCATAATTTCTCCTTATCACCACCTTATCCTCTTACTTATGTTGTATATAATGTTATCTCTCCTGATTTCTCATAGTACTGTATGTACTGTATACAGGTCCGTCAGTCATTTATTTATGTATTGATTTTAAGAGTGACTGTTCACCTTGTAATTTAAAATTCACTGCACAAGTTTTTTTAGCTTTAAATCTTGCCTAAAATGCTGTGTATTTGTGGCTTTTCCAGAATACTGTATACAATTTAATTACCAAAAATCTGTAGTGATAAAACTAATTGTACCTTGTGTCTATACATAGGACTGAACAAATAATTTTGGAAACTTGGACACATTTCATCACGTGTAAGATACTGCCTCTGATGGCCAGAGGTCTCTGGGGATAGAAATGGCATGTTATGACACTGTGGCTATCATGGGTTTCAGTAAAGCTTACTGAAAGAGAGATAGAGGGGGAGAGGGAGAGAGAACGTGTCACCTGCCGCTCTATCACTAGAAAGCCCCCCCAGCAGCTCCTCAAACAGGATATGCATAGATTATTCAATTGGGATTTTTGTTTGTAATGACAAATTTTGCTGAATGAACTTGTGGTAATGTTTACAATATAGCCATTTCTTAATTGGCTGCAAATGTGTTTTCTGGAATGTAGACAAGTGAAGCATCTGTTAATAAGATTTGATATGCAATGATAAAAATTTCAGCTGGAATTTTGTATGGAACATACAACAGCTGTTATTTACTGTTCCTGTTGATGCGAAAAATACTGTACAGTATTTATGGTAGTAGCATTAGCTACCTAGCTGGAGATGTATATATTTGACTGAACTCTCAACAGACGTGTTCTGTGTTCATTAGTTTAGTTAAACAGCGGTAAAAACATACTTTGCTTTAAGAACTAAATGATGAGTGAATTATTATAGGGATTAATGAAAAGTGTTACTACAAAATTTTGACATTGCTGATTCAGGATTATTCAGAATTTAAAATGAATTACTCTTTTTAATAGGATTTACAGTACTCTATAGTATAGGAGGATTGCGAGGCATCACATACTGTATATAGAATTGTAACAATTTATATATTTTACTAGTGAGCCCCCTCTGTTAATCACTGAATGACCTCTCCCTGTGCTTGCCCTCTTGTTTAATCCTGTCATTCCTTCCTTTATCCCCTCAGTAGATTGGTTGGGATTAGACCTCATCTGTTATATGGTTTTTTTTTTTTTTTTTGCAGTTTTTGTGGATTTTTTTTTTTTGTGGAGGTTGTTGCCTCTTGAAGGACAACCAAGAGTGCCTATCTGTAAAAAGAATTAACCACATCTAGGATATTTCCCATGCCCGGGCCTGGAAATATCATTTTCAAAGCAAAAAAAGGTTTGAATATTACTGAATGAAAACCTCTGCAACTGAAAATAAAAAAGAACTATAGCATTTGGTTTTAAATATGCTCAGTGACTTTCACAAGGCCACAACTATTTCTTGTAATTGGCCCCATAGAACACGGAAAATATTAGGTATGAATGGTAACACTCATACTATGGCTTCAGTCACGTTTTTGATGGTTTTCGTAGATGGACTCGATATTACAAGAAACAGCTGGAGCCTTGGGAAAGCTATTGAGGATATTTTAAACCAAACTCTGGTTTGTTTTAATTTTGTGTTGGCAAGGTTTTTGTTCACTCAGGTATAGCATTACTACTGTACCTTTTTAAAAATGAGTTTAGAGGCTGGGAAATGTGTAAAATTAGCTAAGTGTGGTTAAAAAAAATTGCAGACATGTTCGTATGGTAGTTGTCCAATATAGGTCGAAATTAAAATTTTGTTAAGTGAAATTAGCCTATAGGGCATGGGAAAGGCATCCTAGAGGCAGCTTGAGTTGCAATGAATCCCTCACTGCAACGAGTTGGAGTTGGTTACATGTAGTTCGTTGAATCAAGGTTGTACTGTAAATAATGATCAAACAAAACCATTGAAGGAATGTCTCGGCTTGTTTTAGTTGAACTCCATCTGTTTGCTCATTTCATCCACTTGATTTATTTGTGTTTTGAAAGGTTGTTGAATGAGTAATTAGTGATTTGTAAAACTGTTTTTACTAAAAAAAAAAAGGATTAGAATATTTTTCTAGCCTAGCATAGATACTGTATAGGAGATAACTCTTCCCTCCAGTGATGCATGCATTTCATCTGTTTATTGGAGGCCTAACTGTAAAATTCTCAGTTGTCAAGGTATCATTTATTATATTTTGTTAATTTTGATTTATGAAAAGAGTACAGTGTCTATAATGGTGGTAATTCATTTTGTCGCATTTTGGCAGGGACAGGAAGGCTGTGAATATATAGTTTAGAGTACAATAATGACTCCCCAGGATGCAACCCCACAACCGTTGCCTAACTTCTGGTAATCTATTCATATTTAGGTGAAAGGAAATGTAGCACAACCATTTGTTCTGCCTGGGAACCAAACCCAGGATTCCCGATTGGAAGCCGAGAATAAAGGCAATGTTTTAAAAGACCCTGTACATTTTTTTTTTTTTTTACAGGTCTGTGTATTTATAACATACAATCATATTGGTACAATCGATAGTTACAATCACATTTTCTTACCTCTTTTTTTTGTAAATTGGTTATACAGTACTGTAATTGGTTTAAACCATGATGTAAGTACTGTACAGTATTGTACATAATACAGTATTGTAGATGTTAAATTCATATCAATTGGTAATCCTCCTTCAGTTATAAATACTTAGGGTATTACATTAAATTTTTTTTTTTTGCAGTTCCAAGGGGATGAGAAGCTGGACACTGACATTCCAACATACACAGAGGCACGACTCTTCTGCACGACTTTTGGGAAGATGATTTGGATGTTTTTACAGCCGTTATTTTATGCCTTTCGTCCACTTCTTACTTACCCAAAGACTCCCACTCTTCTTGAGATCATCAATACATGTGTGCAGCTTTCCTTCAATTTCTTTGTGTTTTACTACTTTGGTGGTAAGTCGACCTAATGGAAATTATTTCTGTACATTAAACAAAAATTGGTTTGCATTCTTCCTAAAATTTTCATACTTATTATCCTTGTCCATAGAATTTGTTCTATCTTTTATAGGAGTCTTGAGAATTCAAGGTGCATTTAGCTTGATCGCATGTAACTTCTGTTTTTCTTTTTAATCAAAATAAATCCTTGTTAAGAAAGTCCTTGGTTTTAACAAGCTTGATTATTTAATTCATGGTGCACATAATTCTTTATTCTCATCTGTAATTTAACTATACCAATTAATTTTAAAAGCCTATTTATAAAAGCTGGAATAAGTGTTCAGTATATATTTTTTGTGATCTGAATGTGTTAATTACCAGGCTTGGTGAGAATTATAAGAATTTAGTGGTTTAGATTAGTGAGATGTGTAATGAATAAATGTTGTAGATATTTTCTTTAGCAAACAAATATTAAAAAAATTGTGATTCCCCATAGGTAAGAGTCTTGTATACCTAGGAATAGGATCTCTGCTGGCTATGGGTCTTCATCCAGTAGCTGGCCATTTCATCTCGGAGCATTATATGTTTGAAAAAGGATTTGAAACCTACAGCTACTACGGCCCTCTCAACCGCCTTACCTTTAATGTTGGTTACCACAACGAGCACCATGATTTTCCCTATGTTCCTGGATCTCGTCTTCCTAAGGTATGATTTCTGTAATTTCCAGTAATTAAATATTTTTCACATTTTCAAATGAGATTATTATTTATGTACACGATAACGGCTATCACTATGCATAGTTAGACTTTCCTGTGCCTCTTTTCCAGGTTAAAGAAATAGCAGCAGAGTTTTATGATGACCTGCCACAGCATAGTTCCTGGGTTAAAGTTATTTATGACTTCATAACAGACCCTGCTATTGGCCCGTATGCCCGCATTAAGAGGAAGCATGCAGGCTTTGCAAAAGATGACTAGTATTCATACTGCATTGTTAGAGTATCCCGACGAGATTTTGCAATGGATTTTGTGATTATTTTGTTTCTTGTTCACTGTAATACGTACATAACGCAAAAGTGTGGTATTTTATAAAGTTCGATGAGTGGGTAATTTAATCTGCTTGTCAACTCATTTAATTTAGTATTCATTGTTCCCAATTCTTAGTATCTTAAAGATTTCTTAATTCCATAAGAATAGTGCTCAGTATTTTTCAGTACAGTTAGAAGTGGAATTATGAAACTTGTAGATATGAGAGCATTTATTCATACTAAGTTTGTAATTGTCATCGTGCATTAATGAGTAAGTGGGAAAATTACTAGGAGAGACTTTTTTAATTTGACTTGTTATTGAAAACTCATTTTTTTCTGCATTTCTAACAAAAAAACATTTTGTATTTACATAATACATAATTAATTTTTGTCACAGCTGTATTGTGATTCTGTAAAAATTTAAATGACTTTATTAAAGTAAGAAACTTTTATATTGATGTCAAAATGACAAAGCAGGTCTTGATGGGTTTTTTTATTGAGGCTTGATGCACAAATGTTCTAGTTGCCATTAATGGCAATAAGCATCACTTCTCTCAGTTCAGATAGCACTGTTAAAAGATGAATATCAAAGAGAATTGTCATTTTAATGTAGATAATTTTATGAAAATATATTTACATATCATGTAAATATTTTGATCAGCAGGCAGTATTTTCTTCACTTGAGATTGGTAGTGTTGCAAGTGGTATCTTTCAAAGCTTGAATTATGCAGCCATGTATCTTGAAAAATTTATGACGCCACAGTTGTGATGTGGAGCAATACTGTATATTTTTTTTAATTGGTTTTGTTTAAATGTGTGTGATATATTTGGCCATTTTTTTTTTAATTTTATTTTTTGGATACTGTGTATCGCAAATATCCTGAATTCAAGATGCAGTTAGGTACTGTACTTTAATTTTCTATCTTCATTAATATTGTACCTAGAGCTATGAAAGTGTGAGGTAATTTGAGTGCTGATATGAAATATTTAATTATATAATCTGTGATACTTCCATTGCACATCTATATTGTTTACTCATTTAAACTGTAATGTTTGTGGCATTAATTGAGGTTCACTTTGACATTGTTGCAAAACTGGTGGTTCCCCTCTATTTCAAACCAACAGTATTAAGTAGAAAATCTAAAGCCTTGGCATTCTTTTTCTTGTGTAATAGATTGAGTGCTTTTATGAGTGCTTTGGAGCTTACCTAAGATGGGAATCTGAGACCACTAGTGCCCTAGACTAGTGATTTTATGTTCAATAGTTTGTTCATATACTAAAGCTATTTCAGTTGTAAATGTATGAATTTTATTTTTAGCATTAAAAGTGTTGTTTTTAAATGTGCAGAGTAATTAACTTGCTGTACAAATTAGAATTTAATGTTGAGAACTTGTAAGGCGCTGATGTGTGATATCTTATTGTAGTTCTTCATGGTAAAAGCTGAGAGGTTTAGAACATGCAAAGAGATGAGCCAGACTTATATTGGCCTGTTTAGTTGGTCATAGAATTATAGTTTTGAGGATTATAGGTACAGTACTATGTTGTTTTAGATTTGCATAACTTTTATATTAAAGTACACATTAATGCTCATTTGAACATAGTGCACATGAGCATCATGGAATAAATTTTGTCCATAGAAATTGGTAAAATGTTGCAGACTGAAGTAGCACCTGCTTAAATGTCACTGCTGCAGTTCTCGTTCGTACTTGGGGAAAGTAACTACAGTACTTCATATAAAAGTCCTAATAAGTGCATGAAGTGGTGCTTAGTAGTGAAGTCAGTGTATGAACTTCTCTTAAGGTTTCTTAAGATGAACAGAAGATCTGTGATGTTTTCAGGATTACCAAAATAACAGTAAACTGAAGTGTACAAGATCTTCAATGCATTTGGGTGTTATAACTCTTGAAAGGCAGAAATTTAATTAACAAAAATTGTGGCAACTACACAAGTAATTCAACAAGTGTTGGGCCTAATGATTGAAATCTGGGATTTAATGTCGCTCGTCTTAGTCTCAGGGACTAATAAGCTTCTGAATATAAAGCAAATACAATCTTCCAAGTGTACTAATAAGGTACATTGTGTACTTGTGTAGTGTTGACAGCACACAATTTTCTGGTGGCATATTAACGAATGCTGAAGAGCAAATACAGTATGTTTAAAGTTATAAATGTATTTTTAAGCGTTCGTTTGTCTTGGACATACTGTAATAACATCTCTCCTTTATATGAGGCTTGGCCAGTGCTTCCTAGTATAAAAGAATTCCAGTATTTCTTTGGAGAGCAATAATATATTTTTTCAGTGTTAAAGCTGCAGTTTACAATATCAGAACTACTGTACTGTATTGTAACCAGCTAAGGTATGGTTAACCTGTAACGTGCATTTCCTGCTATAGTTTTACTGATATGTTATAACTTGTGAATTTCCTTTATACTGTAAATAAATTTAAGCTTTATCAATGTATGCTTAACATTTTGTGGCAAATTAAATGGAGAAAAGTTTAATAATATTAGTGAAGGTCAAAACTATCTTCTTGAAGAAAAAGTAACTACAGTACTTGGTTTAGAATTTAAATTTTGTTCATAAATTTGTGTCATGAATGAAGGTAATGCAGACCAGACAAACTCTGCAGTGGATTTTTTGTATACTTTTGTAAAAACATATTTTGCAGATATTAATATGAAGAGTATTTTTTTCCTCGGTTTCTTTCATAAAAGTTGGTATATATAAAAAGTGTTGAACGTCATATTCCTGTTAACAAATTTTATTCGGGCATTACAAACTATTGCCTATGTATTAATTTGAAATGTTAAATTAAAACCACATCTTGATCTTCAACCAGACTAATTGTCCAGAATTTTTATGCATATTATCATTTAAAGCACGATGTTAACCTCCATCCCACTCGTCTGAAAAGGAAGGAAGTGGTGACATTTGGGCCCATCCTGGACCATTATCATTATGCGTACGGTAGAGAACCGACCAAAATGGTTGGCAACTGACCACTTGCCTTCTTTTCAGATGTGTGGGTTGGGTGTTTAATGTTCAGCCACATTGTGACTTACTGCCTGCAGTATAAGCTTATGCACAGGTTGAGAAGTGGATTGGATAACAAAGCTTAGTTAATTGTGGTTTTTATTCCGTGCATTTCAGTTTATTCATAAACTGTCATTTAAAGGTGTTTTAAGAACTTTAATTAATATTTTGTTTTTTTATACACTAAAGTTCTGAACAAGTGCACCAACTCCACCAAATATAATTTTAAGTAGTTTTTAGTGTAGAGAATTTTTTTTAACGGTCTTACGAACATAAATTTTTTGTTGGTCTTGTTTCGGTATGGAAAAGAAATTCATTTGGTATAAACACTTCAGCATTTCAATGATACTAAAAGTCATTGTCCATACAATAAACATTCTGATGATGCTAAAAATGCATATTCATCTGAAAATTCATGAAAATCACTTTCATTTTTGTATTAGTTCATTTTATTTTTTATTCTTTTTGGAGCACAATGTTGGCATAATTTATCAGGGGGACCAACCAAAATATTGGAAGATACATCCAGATATCACCTCGGCCAACATTCTCTCACTCAGGACAATAATTATTTTGCTTGTGAGAATTTTCACTATGCTTTGAAAATTAACTGCCAAAAATTATTGAAGTTCGTTTTCTTTTTACAGTAACATAGATAATGTGTTCACATTTCCAAGTATTATTTTTATGTGGAGAAATATGAGAGGAATGTTGAGAAATACGAGGGAGGTGAGAAATACAGTATGAGGAATGTTGAACGATTTATATAAATTAATATATTCAGCACCATCATGCAAATTCTATTATGATGTCACTTTATTTTGTATCTATACTCTAGCAAATTCATTTTCAAATGTCTTGACACCAAATTTATAGTAATAACTAAAAAATTTAGAAAAATGTTAAGAGTGTAAACATTTTAGGTGTCACTCAGCGGGATCATGAGATGCTCTGAGCATTTACGTTCAGGACCGAGCTGACTGGTCAGAACGGTACTGTTAGCAAGTGTCCAATTACTTGCTGAATGTGAGCATAATGTTTTTACTGTGATAGCTTAGCTGTAGATTTATTGATACCATATTACTGTTTTAAAGCGACTTGATGTTACCTTCTAATGCTATATTCAGTACTGTACTCACTCTTAAGTGCTGGAAAGGTGATTGGTGTCATTTTGTTGTTTTGAGTGTTCATATAGAATGTTCATATTTCAAATGTCTTTCTAATCCAGATTAATTTTTTGCATTAGTGTTCCCATTATGTTTTAATTTTTGTTTCCCCCCATGTATAACTTCTCAAGAAAGATGCTGTAGAATTGTTAAATACAAATAACGGAGCTACTGTACTTGGAAAAGTAAAATAACTGTTACCTTTGGTTAAAATTAATGGGTATTTAAGGCACAGTGAAGTCACACTAACGTGATGCATCACAAGAGCTCAGTCATAATATTTTCTCATTGTAGTTAATGTAGTGGACAAGAATGTTAATAACGGTTAAGTTTGTAGCAAAGATGCTGAGTAAAACTGCAGTAATGAATGAAATGTCGTGTCCAGAGTGTGATAGACGTGATATACTGTACTGTAATAAAATACAGAGGAATCTTGCGTGACGAGCAGCCCCCTCCCCATCTACGAGCATTTCAAGTAACGAGCGAGCCACTCGCAGAAAATTTGTCTCGATTTACAAGCTTCCGCTTGATGAACGAGAAAACTACACATGGTGCTTCTTAGCGTTCCCGCCGGTTCTCGCAAATTTTCGACACCTCCAACAACAGTGTTGTATCGCAAAGGACAAGCACCCCCGTCTGGATTTATTTGAGCTTTTCTTTGTTTTTTTTGTGGTTTTATGACTAAAATTTGTAACCCACGATGTCACCAAAGAAGCTGCTTGCTAAAGATAGTGTTGTCAAGGGGAAGAAAGACATAATTTTTGTAGATTTGGAAAAGCATCACCCTGATAAAGCAGTGACAACACGGTGTGTGAACATGTTTAATGACAATTTGCTGTCTCGTTTTAGGGACATTCTAAAACGAAGACAAAAGCAATTGTCAATAGATACGTTCTTTGGAAAGGTACAGAAAAGACGAGCAAGTGATAGTGAACCACATCTCGGTCCCAGTGGGGTGAAATTCCCGAGAGAGAGCCCACCTGACTCGGAGGTGGATTCTCCTTCCACACCGTAACCCCTCTCCTCCTCCCCACCTCCCCACCGTCTCCCTCAAGCCAGCAAAGACTTCATAATGTAAAGTACTAGTACATGTACAATTGAACAGTAAAACAAAAGATTTATAATAATTACATGTACAGTATTATAATTACACTATAAAATGTCATATTGATGTTCTTTGGGGGTGGAATGGATTAATTTTATTTCCATTATTTTAAATGGGGGAAATTCGTTTCACAAGACGAGTGTTTTACATGACGAGCTCGGTGCCGGTACGGATAAAATTCGTTAATCGAGGCTCCTTTGTAGTTCCTTTGTAGAACAGTACAGTATATCTGTTGTGCATCATGGCATGCAGGTGGTCATTTTGTCCTAAATTCATCCAGTCGGTCATTGAACGAATAAATATATATTATTAAAGGAAATAATATACTGTACAGTAGTACCATTTTTCACAAGTAGTTATAATTATTGCTAACGATTCATATAAAGAGTAAGCAGGATGCAATAAGATAAATTAGGGTACTAGTGTACACTGAAATTAATCTGAAGGCATTATACTGAATAACCATCAGATTTAGCCAAAGTTATATAATAAGAGGATGATTTGTAAATATATTTGAGATAAGCTATTGTATTTTTCCAGAAACTGGAGATTGATATTCTTGGTGTTTGATGTCAAATGCTGCTATGGTTAAAAAAAAATTAGGTCTTGAGAACTAAAATATAAAGTTCCACATACTGGTATCTAGAAGGTATAATAGAAATGTCTTGACTGAAATATTTGGCAACGCTTAGTTACACAACTACTACATGTAAGTTTTATCATTTATAATTAGTTGCTTTGAATCTTAATCTTTCCCAAAGAACTAAATATAAGGTGAAAATTATGTAAGTAAAATTATGCTATTATGGTAATACTGTACTCGTTTTACAACACTTTTTTGTTTTTTTGTTTAAGATTGAAGCTCCCATTTTAAATGTTCTTTTCATACTGTAATAGAGTACTTTATTTCCACTTTCTAATTGGGATAAGTACTGATATTTAATAGTACAGTACTGTAATTTCATAAACTACAGTACGGTATATGTATTTTAAATTTGTATTCCTCAATTTAAGTACAGTAACTTTAAATGTAATTTATGAAAAGCAGTATTGGTGCTGTTGTGCTGCATAATATTATATGGGTTATAATTATTACTGGTGAATAATTTTATTATAACTGATGAAGCAACAAAATAGTTATAGATCTACTTGTGGATTTCTTAGTAAAGCATGAGACTAAGATCTGTGTGAACAGTTTGGCTTTGATTTTGAAACCAATACCCAGTGGACACCATATCCTAGACCACTGCCCAATTCTTCACCGAAGCAACATCGTCAACATTGAATTGATGATTTGGTTCAACGTTCATCCAGTTCCACCTTTGGATAGTGGGCCCACTGGGGTGTGTGTGCATGTGTGGCATCCCTCAAAATTTGTTGGTTTTATTTATTATTTATTTATTAAACCTTTATCACAAGTTTACCTTGTGATAGATTGTGCATGGCAGAACTCCTAAATTTGCCTATGCCCACTTTTCCCTTTTACTTAGTATAGGCTGATTATGGAAAATAAGTATAATGGCCAGGTAACAGGCATTGTGTTTGAGAATTATCCAGTGCTGTACACAGGTGGCGACACTTGCCTCGTCTAATGTGCTCGTTATCTTGAGATGATTAGAGGCTTTTTAGTGTCCCCGCGGCCCGGTCCTCGACCAGGCCTCCACCCCCAGGAAGCAGCCCGTGACAGCTGACTAACACCCAGGTACCTATTTTACTGCTAGGTAACAGGGGCATAGGGTGAAAGAAACTCTGCCCAATGTTTCTCGCCGGCGCCTGGGATCGAACCCAGGACCACAGGATCACAAGTCCAGCGTGCTGTCCGCTCAGCCGACCGGCTCCCTAACCGTCTTGACTAGTATTTTTACAAAACATTTACAGTATTTAATATTTTAATGTAAATGATTAATTCTTTCCTGTAATTTTCTTTCCTAGTAGGTTTTCATTTTTAACCTGGATATACTTCATAAATGAGTGATATTTTTTCATTATATATGGCTAATGTTAATCTTTTATTTTTGCACTGGATGTATTGAACAGAATTGGGTCATGCATATTTTCTACAGTGAATCTCGTGTTTTTTTTTTTTTTTTAAATAGGGAACTTATTGTAACTAGGGAAACACTAAGGAATTTTTACTTTAAAGATTCCAATTATGATAATGACATACTTTTCATACTGTATTTAAGGTGAAGCTTTAGTCTTGCAGTTAAAAAATACTAAGGTTTGCTTAGTAATTCATATGTCAATTGCTAATTAAAAACAAATTATATACCTTACACTGCTCTTTCCTTTAAAACCTTTCTTTGAAATTATTCTTGAAAATGCATTGTATTGCAACTTCTCAGTTTCACAATTATTTAAAATATGAAGTTTTTAGTTATTGTAATTTGGCAATATATTTGAAATAGATCTTCTTGAGGTTATCTTGAGATGATTTCGGGGCTTTTTAGTGTCCCCGCGGCCCGGTCCTCGACCAGGCCTCCACCCCCCAGGAAGCAGCCCGTGACAGCTGACTAACACCCAGGTACCTATTTTACTGCTAGGTAACGGGCATAGGGTGAAAGAAACTCTGCCCAATGTTTCTCGCCGGCGCCTGGGATCGAACCCAGGACCACAGGATCACAAGTCCAGTGTGCTGTCCGCTCGGCCGACCGGCTCCCGAGTGATATTTAAAGCTGATGTGCTAAGATGTCCTAAAATGTTTTTTTGTTTTCCCTCCAGTTACTTGTATATGTAAGAAGTGTCATATTGCTTTGTACTTTATAAAGAAAATGCAATGTGTTATTTAAGAAAATTAATACAAGAAGTTAAGGAAGTAATTAGCCTGTTAGAAAAGTATGATTAACAGTAATAAAAAACATATTGAGTATTTTAGAAGTATTATACAGATTTTTATTGTATGAGAGAATTCTGGTATTAAGTGGATCCAGGGCTGTCCTTGTGAGTCGAGCACTTAGAATTTGGGCTGAAGTTTGCCAAACCAACCAAATCATGCTTTCTCAATGTCCTTTAGAATAGTTTCTACTTTGCTAAAATCCTCAGCAAATCTGATATCTTTCATGTCACATTGTAACAATGGTACCAAACTTTGCTGCTACCATTGAAACGTAAGGGAATGTTACAATTGAAACGTTTGCCACAAAAAGTACTGCTGTTATTGTACGACTATGGTAACACTTAGTGTAATGGTTGCTATAAATTGCAACCCTTTAGGCTGTACTAATGGCATTGATATAACCCCAAACAACTGGAAGAGTCTGCCCTCACAGCAGAAAATGCTCAAATCAGTTATCAGGGAAAGAAATGACGAAGATGTTAAAAAATCTTTACAATTCTTACAGCCCAGATGGAAGATAAGGTTACTCGTAAAACACACCTCTTGGAACTTTGCCACCACTCAAACATAAAACTGTAAATCAGTTTGCCACCACCACCACTCTTGGAACTTTGATAGGCTAAATGACTCGAGAAGAGACCAGTCAACTAATACAGTGTGTTGGGAACTTTGATCTTTTAATATTGGTTGAACAGAATTCTTTCAAATTCACAACATGAATTACAAGGGGGAATATATTTTCTCATAAAAATGCTCATCAGATCACAGGTGATGTCCAAAGCAATTCAAGATCTATTACACTGGAGATAATTTACATCTTGTCTCATGTGCTTTAAGGTGGAGTCCTGGCTCCACCTCTCTCAGGCCTATATCCAATCAGCTGAAACCAGGCCAAAGGTCCTGCAACTCTCAGCCAGTGACTAGTTTTAAATCCAAGAGGCATGGTTTTCTCACAAAAAGATAGGTATCACCAAGCATATTGAGGGAAGACGTACAGGCCTCTCTTGTAATTTGATATGGCAGTATTGTCCCTCCTGTGACAGGAGTTACGCATACTAATGAATGTGTATGAATGAATCTTGGACAGGAGTCTTGTCTCCCGAGGAGAGAGAAGCGAAGGGAAATGGGAGAAGGAGAGAGAGGAGGATAATACAGAAGAAGGGGATGAGGGAAAGAGGAGGAGGAGAGGCCGCCTTTGACCGTTTCAACACATGTGACATCAAAGGCATGTTCGGTTACCTCCTGCTACATGCCTAGCCTGAGGACAGGTAGCTGTATTACAGCTACCTGTCAATTATTCATATTTGTGTGACTTTGTCCTTTGGACTAGTTGCTTTGTATTGGATAATACCATGATGTGTGAGTTTGAGTCATGTTCATTGAAATGATAACTATTGTTTCATGAGCATATCAAAGAATATAGGAGTTTCTTCTTAGCTAGGCAGGGGTTCAGGTTAGGTTTAGAAAGACTAAGTTGAATATGCTAGATTGGAACGAATCCTTATTAAGGGGTACTACGTTCATCTGTAGCTTTCTAGACAGTCCCTCGGAATCAATAAAATATAGAAAGAGAAGGAGAATGTGTAGGGAGGCGGTCCACTGCATGCTACATAGCCAGACTTTCTACTTATAGATGCAAGTATACCAAAATAAAGCTTGTACTATACAGTATTTCGGTCTTAACGATTTCATATGTGTAACTCCTGTCACAGGAGTTACACATACTAATGAATGAATCTCGAATAGGTGTCCTGTCTCTACAGTTGTACATTACTCTTATGTTATTTGTACATACATTCTTCTAAATAAAAACTATTATAATAATAAAGATTAGGACCGATTCGCATAGTTACAAAATACACGATGAACTTGAGGCCTTTATGCCAGGGTTACTGGCAACGAGAGGTCAACACTATCATGTGTTGATTTAAAAGAAATAGGTTTATAAAAGATCCTCGGGGGTACGACAGGTCGCCCTATGTATCATCAGGCTATGGGAGACGTGTGTGCCCTATGTATCATCAAGCTATGGGAGATGTCTGCCCTATGTATCATCAGGCTATAGGAGACGTCTGTGCCGTATGTATCATCAGGCTATGGGAGACGTCTATGTCCTATATGTATCATCAGGCTATGAAAGACGTCTGTACCCTATGTATTTATCATCAGGCTATGTTCGTCCATGTTGCGTCTGACCCCCAAAGACGCATTGGCGAATTTCACGGGCCTGTGTAATCAAAAACTATATTTTCTCAAGTATAAATAATAAAAAATAATTATAATTATTTCCAGTTAGGTCTAAAATAAGCTATAGGTGTTTTGGATCTGTTGGCAATTATTATTATTTGCAGTATTTACGCGCGAGTCAAACAGGAAGAACAAAATCAGCTGTAGAAATGTTGGAACATAATAGCTGGAGACACGTGCGAAGTGTCTTTCAAATCGTAAACATTTGGCTGTTGTTTTAGATTCAGCTACTCGGAACAAAAGTTCCAAGTAGCACGGGCTATGGTGAGCCCGTACTGGACTTCCTTGGCACAGGAGCGGTGCTGTGTGTGTGTGATTTAAGGAGCATTTGGCCATCGTTTATGTAGACGAGCTGCTGTGTTTTGGGTGGAAGAAGATCGAAGATTGATGTAAGCAACAAGTTGAGGGCTCCAGAAATAACCATGGGATCAGAGGCTTGTAAAGGAAAAAGGTACGTTGAATTGGTATAGTTTCAGTACTAATTGTAGTATCTTAACATACTAAGAAGGTTAGGTTAGGTTGTGGTTTATAAACAACTCTCTTTCAACATTCACAACAAAATCGTCGTTTCTAAATTAGTACACAGTGTTCGAAAGCTCACTGATTGTTACTGCACACTGGGAGAGCTTAATTCCTCCCTTGCATACCTTAGTGTGTGTGTGTATATAAATGTATGTATGTATATATGTATAAATATATATATATACACACATCGTGACAAGAACACAGAAATAGGGCGGCCGATAAATTCAGACAACGATTCAGAGACGTAGCTGGAAGACTTAAATTAACTAAAAGATGGATTGAAAATTAGAGAATGTAGTAACAGATATCAGGTAATCAGTATCACTATGGCTTAATGAAGATATAGAAAAGATTAGTGGCGATAATTATGAAGTTGAAACTTTTCCAAAAAGTGCACAAAAGCTTCATGAAAGGCTAATAGCATATTAAATTTTATATCGCCAGTATAAGCTGTTTGCCTACATCTTTATCGTGTCCTTATGAAACCCTCTACACTTCTACCTTTCATCAGTGTTTAACGTCAAATAATTGTTCACAGAACCATGGAAACGGAGGGTAATAAAACACAACATCATTAGAAACTATTATGGCCTGTATTTAAAGCATTAATACACAAAGTGTTTACTATGCTTTAGTTCGCATGTTTCGTTGAAGGTTTGAGATGTTCATGTCACTGATCAGGTACGTCTGAGGGCCCAGCTGCCCTTCTCTCATCCGCTTCTCTCTGTAGGAAGCTGCTTTCTCTGTCCGGTTCATGGTACCCACTCATAACTCTGGCTTTTGTGGAACCAAGTGATGGAGCTTATCTCTTTGGCTCGATATTTTGTCTTTTTTTTAATTAATAATGATTAAGCACTCAAGCGCACTCAAGCTTCATTAAACACTGAAGCAATCTAGACATCTTGATTAAGCAATTAAGCCATTTAGAGTTCTTGATTGATATTATTGTGCTCTATAGAAGACTAAGATTAATATGTTTATCACAAGTACGTGTGAGTGGGTGGGTGTGTATTGTGGGACGGTAAAACAAACAAACCTGAGCTCTGGGCACTTGTGAAATAAAGGTGACTTGTGTACTCTTTGCCAAGTATCAATTGTGCGAATGAAGGACTAATTATAGTCATTATGTATTGTGAAATAAGAAGATATAAGATGTCTTTCTCAGAACCCCTTGTTAGTGCTCAGATTTGTCATTTGTACCCTTGAAGTAGTTGAGTAGGGCAGGAGCCTTGCGGAAGGTCTCTGAACCTAGACGTCTGTTAAGGGTTAGTTGGGTAAGTAGATGCTTTTAATGTGAATTCTTTGCTTTTTTGTGTGTGGTCTTGTTCACACTTTCGATAGCCCTTCACGGGATCCGGAAGGTCGTGCACTAACACTGGAAACACTTACTAAAGAATTCTCTATGTGTATTTAGTCAGTATGCTCAATAACATTAATTGACATTCGGTGGCATTGAATATACATCAGACTCAGGCTCAGATAATTTCCTCAATGTATGTTTTTGGAATTTCCCATAGATAGCTACATTTTTATGGGTAATTTTCTTATCTGTGTATGTATATATTATACTTGACAATGTTAGTTGAGGAAAATTCGACATGTGTGTACTTACAAATGTGTTTACCTGCCCTAAACAGCCATATATGTATAACACTGCATCTATTCGGGAAACAAACTGACCATGACGATTAATTATTGGCTAGTCAACTAAATGACGTCATTGCACGAGTCCCTTGATTGGCTGGTCAGTCATGTGGTCCTTCTTAACAGTTCCCGAAAACATGCAGAGTTCAGAAGTTTATGTACAGAGAAGCTAGTCGAAGCTTTGGCATAACCATAAACCAACTTGTACCTGGATCAGATGTACTCCTTTCAGAGTTGAAAACAAACTCAATCGTTGTGTATTTTTGAAAGCTTGTAAAAAAAAAAAAACAGGGGACGTTAGTACTTTGAAAATCGTGGTTAATTTCAGTTTACCATACTTTACTATAACGTTTATCTTGCTATATTGGCTGGCAAGTTACGTTTCTCCAGTCCGAATCCCCAAAGCCCTTCCCCAGAGCGATGTGAGAGGACTGCCGCACCTCAGGGACTAGACGTCTTAAGGACTCGCAAGGTCTGCCACAGGTCATCCCCCCCTCGACCCCTCCACCCACTCAGTCCAATTTACAGTCATTCGCCAAATCCCCCACTCTCACAACCCAATCAGTCATCGTCACTGGTATTATGCTGTCCAGTTATCACCATTCATTAAACTGCGTCTAAATCATCATGCAGTCATCGAAATCATGCATATTCATCACTTTCGTTACGAAGTTATCCTGTCAAATCATCACTCGCAAGCTCACTATCCACAAGCAACGTGTCTATTCACCAGCGCTCGTTTAGCTTTGCCATCCACTCTATCCGTTAGCACTTGAAAACTGATATCCAACCAGCACCTCTCCCAACTCTCATTCCCCAATCATCAACCAATTAATCAGTCTATCACCATGCCTCTGCTCTCCCCAACCAATCATCACTCATATAATCTGGATGACCTTGCCCCCCCATCTGACCCCAGGTCATCACCACCCCCATCTTGTCTTCGTCTTCACAAGGACATTTATAACGTGGGCTGACCAGCTCCTTACAGTCAGTGTCCCGTCGGTGCGGGGGCGACAGTCCTAGCTGCCCCTCACGCCTGGTCAGTTCAACACACCGTGACTAGGATTCATATCTGTGGGCGCGCTGCCTATCGATGCACTGTTATTGTACGAGTTTTAGAGTCGAATTGCATTTATCATTTGGTAATTAATTTGCAGAGGACTGTTTGTTTAAGTAGTTAACGTCCAGCAAGTCGCACTAAACAATGATCATGATTATTAGTTTTGGTTTCTCAACAGTGCCTCGACGTTGTTCGCGCGAGGGGTTGATAAGAACGCCGCTCTCGTCTCTCACTTGTATTAGTAGGCAGTTGCGAGCTGCGGCAAGCCTGCTCGGTAGCTACAGTACCCTGCAGGTCGAGCGCCTCCTTTGTGCCCTCCAGCACACGTCACCGTCCTTTGTAAGCACCAGTTATATTCACTCACACAAGACCTGCAGAAATTAGTCTACCACTCCAGCGCCTGTTGCGTTTGATTTGTTAATAATATTAGCATGATACACTTGTGCCCTCAGGCAGTTAGTGTAACTAGTAATGTCCACGTCACTAGGAGTTAGGTTCAGGTCCTGCGGCCTGATGGCGTCCCATATACCTCAGCTTCTGTGCTGCCAGTGGCTTTTGTATCAAGCAAGCCTGTGTCCTGTGTGTCCATGGGATTCCATTCCACTGTCTGTATTGTGCGCGTTGCTGGCAGCGGCGAAGCATTTCTTGGGACATGGTGGGTGAGTGCCACCGAGTGCCATAAGGTTGAGGCACTTTTGTCATGGAGCTCTGCATTCATACACTTAGTGCTTGCGAGCCCAGCCAGAGACCTCGGTCTCTGCCACGGAGTACATCTCCTCTCGGCCTGAATGCGTCGACCGATCAGAACGATGATCAGACCGTCGCTGCTGCTGGTGTGTACGTCGCTCAGTCTGCACAATGAAGTCTCCATCGACCACGTCCTCGTCCTCCATGTAATGTTGGGTGAAGTGTTGGTTGTCAAAGTCGTGGTGGTAGTCACGGTACTGGTGCTGGTACCTGACTACTGGGCGCGGAGAGGCGTCGGGAGAATGGTCGGGAGTAGTCATTACTTCAATGAGGTGTGGCGGCTCCTCAAAGTACTCCGTGGATGAGCGCTCCAGCTGACGTCTTTTGCTGTCAATAGACGACCCAGACACGTGGGAGTACCTGTCCACTGGCTCCTGCAAACGATGGGAAAGAAGCAATGTGAATTTGACTGCAATTTGACAGATACCTTCATATACTGTTAACTTTGTCCTGCATATAAAGTTGTGTTTGCATAAAACCAGGCTCTGGTTTACCATTTGAAATAAATTAATATTTTTAAGCCAGAAATAGAGGGAAGAAAGCAATTATAGAAATGGTTTGACGAAAGTGGCGACTCACGTGGTGGCGCCAGTCCTCGGTGAACTCTGAGGCAGACCGCGCCAGGGACCTTCCGGTTCTGGCTGACATACGGTCGTCGAAATCAGTGTCCGGATACTCGTCATCAGGCAACACTGGGACGTTATAAGTGATCTCTGGCTGTGAGCGGTCTGCGATGGAGCGAGCCCCGCTGGCCATGCTGGGTCCACTGATCTCGCTCCAGGTGTCAGCTCGAGCGAAGTTGACCTCGGTCTCCGTCATGGATCGTACATCTATCCCGGAGTGGATGCTTGACCTGCCGGGTGCAGTATAGAATGAAGGAACGGTATTTTGTAATTTCTGAAAAAGCTGATTTGGAAAGTTGAACTAGGAGGAGACGGAAGACAAAAACATTGGTGGATGTGAATATTGTGGCCTATACAGACCTATTCTAACCTTTCACCGAGTCATCCAAAGAATACAGGAATAAAAAGTATCAGATTATATATCTAGTGGAATGCTTAAACAAATTACTGACTTTGAAATGTAAACATACTAGTACATTTAACCTTTTGCAATAGACAACAAACGAGTAAAAAAGCTCAGCATGGACTTAAAGCATGACAGAAAAGCACTGACTTGGATGATCTGCGGGAGCGAGCAGAGGGCGGGCCAGGGCGACGAAGAATCACAGGGTTGCCCTCGGAGTCGTACTCATACAGCGGTGGCAGGGATGGTCGTCGCCCAGCTGGGCCACTGTCGTGTTTGCGGTACCTGAGAGCGACATGGAAGTTGTCAAGCATGGCCGAGAGAGGGAGGCTGAAGGTAGCATATAATCTAAATAGTTTTCCCGAAGAAGGATGAGGGGACCTAGGATGTAGGGAAGGAAGTCAGGGAGAGGCCAAGGAAGGGGATCGAAGGTCTGGTAGAGAGGAAGAGGCCAGAAAGGGAAAAGGATGTCGAGAAGGAGGAAGGACAGGGAAGGAGGATGCCAGGGAGGGTTCCTCAGGCAGGATGTCTGAGGAACACTGAGGAGGTAATGGGACGAACTGGTGATAAAGTGAGTGAAATTGAAAGAGATCTAAAGAGACCACTATTTTCTTTTGTGGTATTAACTACGGTTATGGAGAATATTTTAATGACAATTCAGAAATAATGCTGAAACTAAAAAGTTCATAGGAAACAGAATGTCTACACCAGGTTTAAGAAAAATAAGCTGGAAACATGTGACACTGGTTTGCTGATAAAATATTTAATAAACAATAATAGCGTGCTAACCTCGTAGCAAGAAATTAATATATTATTTTAGGGCTTCTCATTAATTAATTTTCTAAAAAAATTTTTATTTCCAGCTATTCTGGGGTCTGTTATTATTATTACTAAAAAATCACAGTCTATATGGAACACATACCTTCGGCCGTCCCTCGAAGGAAGGCTTTCGGTGTCAGATGCGGAAGGCGCCTCGGAGGAGGAGTCGATGCGGTCGTGGGTGTCGGGTGGGGACAGGATCCTGATGATCACGTCCCACTTACGGGGCTCGAACAGCTTCTCATACCTGTAAACACACGACCCATGTACTATGGTAATCTTAAGGCTGCAAGCAACGTTTTAAACACCTGTCAAGGATGGAATGCAGTGGCTTGACGCCAAAAACAATGATTTATGAGCGACTTTTAGTACTGCAGTGTGATTTTTTTGTTATTATATGGATTCTTCATGAGAGATATTCCGTTATATGCAAGTGGAATTCTAAAGGACACAGGTGGACGCGTGGCATACCTCTGGTCATGACGGATGCGCTCATAATCTTCCTTCACAGTGGCGTATGTGAGCATTGTACGCAAGGTAGACTCGGTGGAGATGATCTGGCGCCATTTCTCTCGGTCCTCCCTCGTCAGCACGTACTGGACGGCCTCCTCTGTTGGGGGCGGCTCAAGGACACGCAAGAGCACGTTCCAGTTAGGTGGAGGTGGATGTTCCAGCTTCTCCACCTCCAGCTGGGTCAAGTCATCCTCGTCAGCATGGAACATGTGTTGACGGAAGATGTCTGAACCGGGTTCGCTGTAGCCCTCCCATTCAGGGCCTGATGACTCAACCTCGTCAGCGTATTTGGGTCCTGGGTAGTGACGGATGGCAACGTTCCACTTGGGGGGAGGCAGAGCTTTGGGCTTCATGTGATACTGTTGGGTGGAATGAAATGTATATTTTTTCTGTTTAACGAATACCAGATATATCCAGTAAAATAGAAGGTATACAAATTAAGAATTATGCATATATTTACCTATTTAATGAAGTACCGATAATAATATAGTAAGAAAAGAAGCGGATATAAAACAAGAGATCAATATATGACTTAGATTTTAAGAGTCAACCAAAAAAAAAAGAGATAAATGGACTCACTTGCTTGATGAAGCGTCTGTGACGTTCTATGTCCTCCGTGGTGTGAGTCTCAGTGATGGTGGAGACGTGTCGGTCGTCCACGACGTGACTGGTGACCTCTGGCCTCCTGGGCACCACCAACAGCTCCTCCACGACGTCCGTTACACTGCGGGCTTCTGACGGGTACTCTGAATCCGGCTCGGAAGGCGGGGGCCGGATCATGTAGCGGCGGCCTTGGCGCTCCACTGTTTCCTGGATGTCTGTTGTCTGGGTCGTTACCTTTTCGATGTTTTCGATGTGTCTGAGGTCTCGTCGAATATTTTCGCGCATGTCCACTTCAAGGTCGTGTTCGGAGACTGATCGTGCCACTGAGCTGTACTCGGACGGTGGTGGTGGTGGAGGTCTTACTTGGAGCTCCAGTGTCTTGCGATGAATGTGGGCATACTCCGGCGGGGGCAGGATGACAGGCGGGGGGATCATAGGTGGCGGGACCAGGTCCCCAGGCTCGGATATAAGTAGGGCGTGCTCGGACCCTGGCAGACTCTCAGCTCGGAAGCTCTCGTCCTTCTCCAGAATGGTGGTAAGGGACTGCGACTGCGCCAGCTGCAGTGGGTAGTCGGGTTCGGGGGTCTTGGGGGGAGTTGGCGCACGTTTGACTCTCACCATGAAGGTTGGTTGAGGCGGCCGGATCACCTGCGCCGCTGTTACCAGTTCTGCGTCACTCTGCATCATTGCGTCTGAGTACACAGAAGACAGTCTGTCTTCATCCATAATGAACGCCCGATTTTGGAAGGCCTGTATTGTCTCCTCTTGCATGTGCATTGAGGCTGCTGAAGACCTACGTTCCACAGATCGCATATCCAGCTCTTCCACTTCCGATCCACTGGAAGGTGGATCAGAGGGGTAGTCAGAGGGAATGGTGTCAGACTGTGAGACGAGCGCTGTGTCAGAATCGGAGGTCGAAGTAGCGTGTGCTCGCGGGATTTTGACTCCATCGAACATAAGCGAGGACCCAGACATCTTGGTGATGTCCGAGGGCGCGAGGGACATGGGACGCCGGCGGACCAGCTTGATATTGCGCTTCTTGAGACAAGTGTAGGAGCAGGCCATCCCCACCAGCAGCAGTGCCAGGAACACGATGGCGCAGATGATGAGCAGAATTTCTATCTCACTCACTGGCGCTGGAAGGCCTACAGGAGCAGGAGGCGCCCTGATGAACAAACAAAAGAACTCAATATACATGTCAAGTTGGCCAAACAGTAATTTATAAAATTCGTGATAATTCCAAAAAAAGAAACAAACTCATTTTTCATCATCTGCAGAACTTCTAAAAAATAAAATATGCAAATACCCCACAAGAGGACAGACGCCTGAAGGGGGGTCAACCTACACGATAGGGACAGGCGGTCCAGGCGGAGGTATGACCTTGGGACTCGGGTATCGGCAGATAATGGTCTTGACCTCGTCACCCTCCAACTCCAGGCCAGGGTGGAACCTCACTATAATGTTGTTGACGAACACTCGACGCTCCACCTGCAGGCGGGAAACTGATGTATTAGGCTGCGAGGACCTTGTGTATTTGGAAGGTGGAAGAGCTGTTGTATTAAGGTAAAGGGCCAGCAGTGTATTGATGAGTTGTATACTGAAACACTGTATGTCTGGCTCAGCAGCGTCATTATATGGAATTATGAGTGAGAGTCAACTGTACACCTGTTGTCGTGGCACTGCTCTGTACATGACACTACCGTGTACACCTGTTGTCGTGGCACTGCTCTATATGACATGTGGTTTGAGTGCCACCATGAAGGAATAATAATCCTAGGATCTATGAAGAGATATAACACTACACCCTTAGCCACAAGGACCCTAGAGCGAGTGTTGACCTTAATACTCTAACATGTGTCTGTGTAAGTGTGGATACCAAAGATATCAGCTTTTACGTAATTCAAATAATAGGTGTAAAAGTCACGGTTTAATACAACAAAATTCAAATAAAATAGAATCGTCTTTCTGACAAAAACAAAGCAATTACGATCTTTCCAAGTATTTAGAGCAGAGGAAATAGAGAAAGTGCGCGTGTGTGGCTTCACGTGTCCTTGTGTGTCGTCGGGTCAAGACAATGTGCCTGAGGCTGGGAGCCAGGAGTCTCACCCTTATGGTGGCTCAAACCCCAAGCTACATTGCTCGTTAAAGACCCATAACCATGATATGTAATTATTGCATCACAGCTTACTAAATTATCGTAATTTTACTATACACCTTACAGCTACTGGAGAGAGAGAAAGCTGTCATATATCTATAAGAGAATGCTGGGTGTTATAAAACAGAGAGGTTATATGCAGGCAATGAGTCACAATAACGTGGCTAAAGTATGATGATCAGACCACACACTAGAATGTGAAGGGACGACGACGTTTCGGTCCGTCCTGGATCATTCTCAAGTCGATTGTCTATATCGACTTGAGAATATTGTCAATATCGATACAATCGACTTGAGAATGGTCCAGGACGGACCAAAACGTCGTCGTCCCTTCACATTCTATTGTGTGGTCTGGTCATCAGAGAGGTTATATATAATGATCATTAATAATACTCCCCTGTTACAAAGCTCTTGAGATATAATCAAATCAAAACACAAAGTGACGAAGATAATTTGGATTGTATCTTACCCTGTTTGTACCACAGCCCTTGAGTGGTAGTTCCAGGTGGTACTTGGTCTTGCCCTGACCCTGGACACGACAGGCTGAATTTCGGGAGCCATTCGGGTAGATGATGCCGTAGAAGGGTTCTTTGAACTCCACATCTACCAGCATGTAGCCGGAAGCGCAGTTCAGGGTGGTGTTGGTCCGCTCGGTGAAGATCTTGGGACCGATCTGGTCTAGGTCCCTGGAGGCCCCACCAATCCTGCGCCACACAGAGACAACACTCGTAATTATAAAACGGTTCCACGGTTCGAGACCTCATGCACCCAGGTGAAGGAAGGAAAGTATGAGGTGGAAAGTGCCAAGCCATCACGACTATATAGCCCTGGGAAGGGGTCAGGTTCGGGAGACATCTCCCGTCACGCAGGGTGCAGTCGCACCTCCACAGATCTCCAGTATCATCTATTGATACTGGAAATGGCTCAAAAGGGCCACCACTTATGGGCTATTCATGCCGAAGCCACCTTTTGGGTGGCTTAATCTTCTCTCTCTCTCTCTCTCTCTCTCTCTCTCTCAGGATAAGGATTTGGGATAGGACGAGGAGGGAGGAATGGTACCCAACCACTTGGACGGTCGGGGATTGAACGCCGACCTGCATGAAGCGAGACCGTCGCTCTACCGTCCACCCCAAGTGGTTGGACAGCCCCGGTGAATGGAAACTCATAATTACTTAAGAACATAACAAACAACACTTCTTTTCGCTTGCTTACGCTCACATTTTTTTTTTTCACTCGTGCATTCCTTTAGAGTTTGTTTACGTGTTCATAATTGGGAATACTTTTATCTATCTTTAAACTATAGAAAGCTATTTAAACAAACCGTTTATATGCAGGTATCTACTTTAGCTTCTTATTTTGTGCATGTGTTCTGACGGTGTTGTGGGACCCCTCCCTCCCCCCCCCCCCCAGTGCTTCTCTCAATTTTGTTGTTTTAGATTTAGGTTCTGGGAACACAAAGTTCCAAGTAGCACGGACTATGGTGAGCCCGTAATGGACTTACCTGGCACAGTAGCGGAGCTGTAACTCCGCTGCTTCTCTCACTGCTAACTCCTCTGAACTATATGTTTAACTGATCTCTAACCCTGTCTATGGAGGACAGAAGAAAATGTTTATATGCTGGTTAGCATTGTAAATGTCCGGCCACGTCTGTGGTAGAAAATATAAATAATAATAAAAAAAAACTGCTAACTCCTCTATTCCTAGTAAGTATTGCGTCACCCTTAAATTGTCTCGCTTTCTCGACCCTGACCACTTCAGCACTCTACAGTTTAACATTTGTAACATTTGTAACATTTGTAACATGTGGGGTGTGAGGATATTTTGTGCAAACCAGTTTAGAAAATGAGCGTATCAGTCGTAGAGGACGATCACCTGGCAGGACCTAGTTGCTGGGTTATCTTGAGGTTATCTTGAGATGATTTCGGGGCTTTCAGTGTCCCCACGGCCCGGTCCTCGACCAGGCCTCCACCCCCAGGAAGCAGCCCGTGACAGCTGACTAACACCCAGGTACCTATTTTACTGCTAGGTAACAGTGGCATTGGGTGAAAGAAACTCTGCCCATTGTTTCTCGCCGGCGCCTGGGATCGAACCCAGGACCACAGGATCACAAGTCTAGCGTGCTGTCCACTCGGCCGACCGGCTCACAGCTTCAGGCTAAAGCTCAGTTAAACAAGAAATCCAAACAGTAATCGGAATATTAGTCCCCATGATGTCTATATAAGTCACGTCCATACCCTCTGCCTCCACTCCTCCCCCCTCCCCCACACACACAGCACATCTCCCGTGCCAGGTGAGTACTACGGGCTCGCCATAGCCCGTGCTGCTTGCAACATTTTGTTCCGAGTGACTGAATCTAAAACAACAACAACAAAACCGCAGCCTCCGCAGCGGGCGTTCAATCCCCGACTGTCTTAAGTGGTTGGGCACCATTCCTTCCCCTCGTCCCATCCCAAATCCTTATCCTGACCCCTTCCAAGTGCTATATAGTCGTAATGGCTTGGCCCTTTCCCCCCTGATAATTCCCTTCCCTTCCCTTCCTTCCAGGCCCTTCGCTAACTCATCAATCCCTAACTACCCCCCCCCCCCGTCGTTATAAACCTCCCTGATACCCTCTCCCGGACTCACAGCACCGCTCCAGTGCCAGGTAAGTCCACTACGGGCTCACCATATCCCGTGCCACTTGGAACTTGTTCCCAATAGCTGAATCTATAACAACAACCATCCTATCCCGGCTCCCCCTTCGTAAAATACCCCTTGGCGACCCTGGCCTCCCACAACACACCCCCATCCTAATATGTCACCCTCCTCCCGCACACCACACAGCCCATGCAATCGGCCAAGGTCCTGGAAAAAAGGGTGGGAGGGACTTTCACTTTCCAGACGTGACCAGACCAGGAGTGAGGCCAAGCCAGGCCGTCTTGAGCTCTTGGGCAAGACTCCATACCCAGCCTGCCTGTCGGAACACTCTTCTTTTGACTTATCTTAAGGAGCACTTGAGCTCAAATTCATTCATTCTCATTCTCTCTCTCTCTCTCTCTCTCTCTCTCTCTCTCTCTCTCTCTCTCTCTCTCTCTCTCTCTCTCTCTCTCTCTCTCTCTCTCTCTCTCTCTCTCTCTCTCTCTCTCTTTCTCTATCTCTCGTTCGTTTGTTCGTTCGTTCGTCCGTCTTATAACAGTACAGCTGTTCTCCAAGACGAGAACACGGGCATATTGCCCTGTTCACCCATAGCAGAACAGATGCACACACACATTGCTTCACTGTCTCTTGAACAACCCATATCTCTCTCACCCTATTGCTGTCTCCCCCCCCCCCCCACCCCGTCCCTCTCCCTATCCTTCTAGCTATCCTTAACCGTCTTTTTCCTCCTCCCTCCATTACCTTAATGGTTGTTATAATGGTTAGCGTCAACAAGGCGAAACAATGGGGCGCTGCTTGGGAGGCACGGTAGCCAAGGCTGCCATACACGGGCACAAGGAAATGTATAGGTTTATCTCTCAGAATGTTTGGTAATATGTTTATTGCTTGTGATGTGTGTCTATGTATGTATTAACACGATGTACTGAACGGGGTGAGAATAGCTTGAGCTACCTCATCCCTTTGTGTGTATTTTACCTCAATAAACTTATTTCAATTTCAATTTACACGGCCACAGGGACGGCTTCCATTTTGAGGAGAGTTAGATTCAGATTGCTTCAATGAAGCATTTGCAAAGGTGTGTGTGTGTTAGTGGCTGGAGTCCCTGTTAACGCAGCCACAGAAGGTCTCCCATAGTGGGAGAAAAGGTCTCTCACTCGCCTCTGTGTGTCATCGAGGTCACCTTCCCCAGGATGGTACCTGAAACAGTTGTTGCCTAAGTCCCCCCTCCCACCTACGGTGATATAGGTGGTCAGAGGCCTTGTTGCATAAGTTCCCCCTCCCTTCTACGGTGATATAGGTGGTCAGAGGTGTTGTTGTCTAAGTCCTCCCTCCCACCTACGGTGATATAGGTGGTCAGAGGTGTTGTTGTCTAAGTCCTCCCTCCCACCTACGGTGCTATAGGTGGTCAGAGGTCTTGTTGCCTAAGTCCCCCCTCCCACCTACGGTGATATAGGTGGTCAGAGGCCTTGTTGCCTAAGTCCTCCCTCCCACCTACGGTGCTATATAGAGGCCTTGTTGCCTAAGTCCCCCCTCCCACCTACGGTGATATAGGTGGTCAGAGGCCTTGTTGCCTAAGTCCTCCCTCCCACCTACGGTGCTATAGGTGGCTAGAGGCCTTGTTGCCTAAGTCCCCCCTCCCACCTACGGTGATATAGGTGGTCAGAGGCCTTGTTGCCTAAGTCCCCCCTCCCACCTACGGTGCTATAGGTGGTCAGAGGCGTTGTTGCCTAAGTCCCCCCTCCCACCTACGGTGATATAGGTGGTCAAAGGCGTCGTAAATATTTTCTTCACAAATGAACTCACACTGCTGTCTGCTGTATGGGCGAGAGCTTCTCCTCCCCAATGTACTGAGCGGCCGCCCACGCCCACACCGCCGCCCACACCACCGCCCATAGCTTGTGTCGGGGGATCTGTGGACAAAAAATGACAAATGAGAGTTATTTTTACACCAGTTTTAAAAGTTAATATAACTTTACAATTTAAATATATTTAAAATTAATAAATACAAAATGTAAATTATTACGTTTATACTGTACGTGTTAGACCAAGACTTTACCCCGTCTCCATTTTCCACAACGTTAAAAAGGCAACTGTTGTATACAACCAGGAACGTACACCCCCAAGCAACCCACCTAACCTATCGAGGCTGAAGAACAGAAAACGTTAATATTATGGCACTTAAGGTTTGGCTAATACGCGGGATTTTCAACTGGTTGGTCGATGCCGTAAAAAACAAGATTGAGACGTATTAGTTGAGAGCGCAAGTTGAATCGATTGATTGATTGATGAAGATTAAGCCACTCAAACGGTGGCACGGGCATGAATAGCCCGTAAGTGGTGGCCCTTTTATCTCCAGTATCAAGAGATGATACTGGAGATCTGTGGAGGTGTGACTGCACCCTGCGTGACGGGAGAGGTCTCACGGACCAAATGGTGACCAAATGGTCAAGTTGAATCGTCTATCAGTCAAACACGTGACTGATAGATGTTTGACATCTATCAGGTGTCAAACACGTGAATCATATACACGTGTTTGACACCTTAGTGTAACACACCGACTAAAGTTGTAGCAACTTTTTGGCGGCAAATATTAAAGTTGCCGCAATATTTCGATGCAACTTTCCTCTAAATAAGAAAGGAAGGAAACTATCAGAAGAAAGCACCAAGCCATTGCGACTATGTAGCACTGGGCAAGGATGAGGATAAGTGTCCGCGGGGACACTTAAAAAATCCCCGAACTCATCTCAAGCTAACCTCAAGATAAGATGGGGAGCGGTGGAGACCCAGGGAGACAGGGAAGGAGGGAGACTATGAGAAGAGGCTAGATGGTCCGTGTCTTAGGACCCTTCTGAAGACTTGTTCCTCCCCAGCAGGACTCCACAAGACCTGCTGGGGACCTGCTGGGAGCTGGGAACACCGTCCCCAGCTCTCCCACGACCTCTGACTCCCTCGGCGTGACCTCGCGTGTGTCTGGTCGTTCCAGGACTCTGCTCAATCCCCACCCTCCTCCTCCTCACCCTCCCAACCCTGGAGCTCTTTGTCCGCACCTGCTTGTACCGTCCCTCACGCTAAGCTGCCACCCCTTGACACTATGCTGCCACGCTTGACACTATGCTGCCACACTTGACACTATGCTACCATCCCTTGACACCATGCTACTACCCTTGACACTATGCTGCCTCCCTTGACACTATGCTGCCACCATTGACACTATGCTGCCACCTTTGACATCATGGGACCTTTGCGGTATCTCTTTTGACGTTTTGATGCAGGTAACCTGCGGGACCAACTCGGAGGGTACACAAAACTATGGTACAAATATGGTACTGTGAGACTGTCAGGGAGCCATCTTAGGTGTGGAACAGCTGTGGCGCCTCCAGTGAGACTATGGACCAGCATGGTATCTATTACAGGAGTTGAGCCATCAAAGCCACCTCTTGGAGGGCCCCTTAATCTTCATCAATCAATCAATCAATCGATCAAAGGGACTACCTGTGGAGGGAGAATCGTAGAGTTACACACACAAATCACAATCATGTGATTTGTGTGTGTAGGAAATCTTTGGAGTAAAGAGGACGGCGGGATGGAGCACGTTAAGGGTGAGCCGGGACGCTGGTTCTCTCAGTCGCAGAGTTATTTACGCGACATTTCTCTCTCCCTAGTTATAAACAAACATTTTACGTGTCAATGAAACTCTTTGCATTCCTCCCCCACTCTCTTTCCCCTACATTGTGTGAGTAGAAACTGTCTATTGCTGTGAGAATCAGCAATGGCGACGCAGGTCTGTATTATGCCTCAGTTGAATAGTCATTGGAGATACTCTTTCCTACCTCCCTCCCTCCCTTTCCCGCCACCCGCATTATTACCCCCTTCCCCCTAACACCTGATCTTTCCCCTTCCCCCCATCCCCTTCCCAGTACTTGAGTGGCGCAGTGGGTCACAGGGGCGACCAGCAACAACAGTTCAGTGTACCCGTCAGATTCCAGGAATAGTATTGGAACACGACACGTGAGCAGGCCCGGGTTGTTTACCCGGGAAGGTTTGGAAAGCACTGTGACGGCAAGATACACTCTCCGTATTGGTGACTTTATGTTTAGTTTAGTTTAGTTCATTTATTATGATCCCAGGCGCCGGCGAGAAACAATGGACACAGTTTCTTTCACCCTATGCCCCTGTTACCTAGCAGTAAAATAGGTACCTGGGTGTTAGTCAGCTGTCACGGGCTGCTTCCTGGGGGTGAAGGCCTGGTCGAGGACCGGGCAGCGGGGACACTAAAGCCCCGAAATCATCTCAAGATAACCCCATACCCATCTTGTGAGCGGTAGTGGAAAGGGTTACAGAGGCACATAATGGGCTCAGGGACTGAACTCCACAATTCATTTAGCTAAGCAAGTTACAATCTTGATGAGCTAGTTACATAATTCAATATAAGTCGTCACATTATCAATGGGTTCGAGATCGACCACAAGTACAGTTTCTATATTAAGCAACTGACATATGTGGAGAGCTAGTGTCACAATTGATATGTTTGTCCTGCACACCCCCCCCCATCCAGTGGGCAGCGGTGGATAGGTTACAATCACTTAGTTACTACCTACAGTTAGCAAACTGGGGATATTTGGCTAAAATTTCTGGTAGCAGATCATTTTGAATGAAATATTTACATTTATCTTTATGCATTGTTCATGTATCGTATGTATGTACACTTGTGTAAATAAAATAATATTTGTATTATTATCAAATGGCTGTTGCAATATAACTTAAAGAAAATGAGAGATGTGAACACTATGAAGGGGAAACTATCTTAAGTCTATGAACAGAGGAGGGCATAATAATTTATTAATAATAAATTAAAAAAATAAATACTATCACATCAGTGATGATTGGGAATCTTGCACATTTAAGAATAACATTCAAGCCATTGTTTATAGCGTATGAGGGGAGCCTCGTAGCCTGGTGGATAGCGCGCAGGACTCGTAATTCTGTGGCGCGGGTTCGATTCCCGCACGAGGCAGAAACAAATAGGCAAAGTTTCTTTCACTATGGATGCCCCTGTTACCTAGCAGTAAATAGGTACCTGGGTGTTAGTCAGCTGTCACGGGCTGCTTCCTGGGAGTGGAGGCCTGGTCAAGGACCGGGCCGCGGGGACACTAAAGCCCCGAAATCAACTCAAGATACATTGAGTACGCACCTTATGAAGCGCAAAAGAAAATCGAAAATTAATCTAATTAATTCATTGTCAGGGGACAGGCAGCCAGTGTGTGTTTATACACGTTATAGGCTTATATCGAGTTCCAGAACTTATATCTGCTCAAGAACACACACAACTATGTGGGTACACACACACTAACTAGGGAGGGGACCTGACGGCAGAGCTCGGAATTCGTAGTCCTAAAAAGGTCCGGGTTCAATCCCCGGCGGAGGTGAAACAAATGGGCAGTTTCTTTCATCCTGATTCTCCTGCTCACCTAGCAGTAAATACGTACCTGGGAGTTAGACAGCTGTTACGGGCTGCTGTGTGTGTGTGTGTGTGTGTGTGTGTGTGTGTGTGTGTGTGTGTGTGTGTGTGTGTGTGTGTGTGTGTGGAAAAAAATCATTTGATTGACGGTTGAGATGTGGGGCCCAAAGAGCCAGAGCTCAACCCCCGCAAGTGCAACTTGATGAGTACACAACTAGGTTGGTACACACAATTACGGCGGAAATCTGAGAAGCCGCAAAGTTCGAACCGCCACTCCAAAACACGGGAAGCGAGGAACAATAAGGACCTTGAACTAGCGAGATTAAGTTCATACCCTCAGACAAGCAGCTTCCTGAAGCTCTGAAGCACACACATACACTTGAACGAGCGGCCATGACATCTTGCCCATAGTGTCAGCTGTTTGCAAGATTTGACTTTACCTGTTGAGTTTGTACCCAAGTATCACTCTTGACTAATAGTGCATTAATAAGGCAGACAGATGGAATTGTCTATTAGTTAATAATGCCAATATGAGATGCTACTATAGGACACATGATTAAATATAAACTAGGCTGATATCCCCCTAGACAGTTTGGTGCTAAGGCAGGAGGCATCACCAAGTCAGTTACTTTTTGGCGGGAAAGGAGGGTACACCTTGGGCTGATATCTTCCCAAATCATTCATGCAAACTGCATCTACTATCAAGAAGATGTCTTCCGTTAATTGGTCGGTAAACTACTATTAGTTGCTATATAGGCGTAGAGTTTGTACTTTGGGTTGTTATTAATATTAGGTATTGAGAGTTATTGGCGTTATTTTCAGATGTGTGGGCTGCGTGTCAAATTTCACTAGGCTGTTGTGACTTACTGTCTGCATTGGTCATATATAAGGTTTTTATTTTTTTATATACAAGCATTCTTTCCTTTAAGGAAAGAACAAAGCACACATAGCGTTTCGGGCAGGTCCTTAATGCTAATTTTCCGCGGAATACGACCCGCCAAATAGTTTAACAACCAGGTAACCATTCACTGCTGGGTGAACAGGCTATGATTATGGATTCACGCCCAGTCAATCCTCCCCGCCCTGGGTATATTAAGTCACATTTGAACTAATGTAGTGACCGTCCAATATTACATCTGGTCGAACTACTAATACTGTTACTCTTGCTCTTACTGCTGCAGATAGGAGAGAGGGGCAAGAGAAGGTTCAAATGGAGTTACTCCATCATCGAGTGTGGAAGAACGAAAGGGGTGGAGTTAGGGGGGAGAAGGATTCCTCGACTAGATTTTTCCCTAACCAGATGCAATAGCCACCTTCCACCCTCCCTCCGCCACCTTGCGTTTCACTATCCCGTTCTATACATCCACTACTCCGTTACCTGTTCATTACCCTACTTGTTCGTCCACCACTGTTGTTTACGAAACGGTGAGGAGTACGAAAACGGTGATCATT